GACATATCTCCAAAGAAAAGAAAATTTGCCAAATCAAAACGGATGCCGCAAATGCAGTGCTAAGAGAGAAGCTAGTAGTAGCAAAACCTTACATTAAAAAAGATCTCAAGTCAACAATCTCACCTCTCTATACCTCAAGGAACTAGAGAAAGGAGAAACTAAACTCAAAACTAGCAGAAGGAAAGGAAGATTAGGGCAGAGACAAATGAAATGGAGAGCAGAAAAACAATAGGGAAAAAAAAATCAACCAAACTAAGAATTGAATTTTTGAAAAGATGAACAAAATTAGCAAACCTTTAACTAGATAAAAAGGGAAAGAGATTCGAATAACTAAAATTAGAAATGAAAGAGGAGCCGGGTATGGTGGCCACATCTGTAATCCCATCTACTCTGCAGGCTGAGGAAGGAGGATTTCAGGTTTAAGGCAATTTAATGAGACCCACAGTCTCAAAAATAAAAAGTGGGCTGGGGATATAACTCACTGGTAGTGCACCACTGGGCTCAATCCCTAGTACTGCAAAAGTAAACAAAGAAAAGTTAAAAAATGACATACCTAAATTTATAAAACTCTTAGAAGAAAATGGGGGAAATTTTTCATGACACTGGATTTGGCAATGATTCTTCTTGGACATGACACCAAAAGCACATGCAACAAAACAAGAAACAAACAAATGGAATTATATTACACTTAAAAACTTCTGACTTCTATGCAAAGGATACAATTAACAGAGTAAAAAACACGATGTATGGAATGGGAGAAAATACTTGCAAATAATATATCTAAGTTAACACCCAGAATATATAGGACTACAACTCAACAACAACAAAAACAAATAACCCAATATAAAAATGTGCAAAGGTTTGAATAGACACTTCTCCAAAGATAATACCTAAATGGCCAGAAAACCAAAAAAATATGAAAAGATGCTGAATGTGATTAATTATAAGAGAAACACAAATCAATACCAGAATGAGATATCACATCATACCCATTAAGATGGCTGCTACAAAAAAAAAAAAAAAAGGAAAAGGAAAAGTAACCCATTGATATAGATGGAGAGAAACCAGAAGCCCTGTACACTCTTGGTGAAATGTAAAATAGTATTGCCACTACGAAAGCAGTATGGAGCTTCCTCAAAAATTAAAAATGGAATTACTATATGATCCAGCAATTCTACTCACTAGGGACTGAACATTTGTATCACAACAAAATTCATATGTTGAAACCCTAAGGAGTCTTTGGGAGGTAATTATGTCATGAAGGCAGAGTCCTCATGAATGGGATTTGTGTCACTGAGAGAGAGAGAGGGGGAGGGTATTATACCTACTAGATGAGGATTCAGCTAGAAGGCATATATACAAGAGAACTGAAAGCAAAATCTCAAAGAAATATTCATAGCTGCGTTATTCACATTAGCCAGGATATGGAAGCAACTCAAATTTCCACTGACAGATGGATGGGTGAACAAAATGTGATATATACATACAATGAAATAATATTCAGCCTTAATTAAAAAAGGAAGGAAATGCTGTCATACACCTGTAATCCCAGCTACTTGGAAGGCTGAGGCAGGAGGATCACAAGCTCAAGTTTAGCCTGGGCAACTTAACAAGACCCTGTCTCAAAATCAACAAAAAGAAATGGGGCGTAGCTCAGTAGTAAAGTGCTGCTGCGCAGCCTGTTTCAGTCCCCAGTACCTATTTTTTTTTAGAAAGCAGGGGATCAGGATGGTGGATCCTGTTACATACAATAACATGGATGAACCTTGAGGACATTATAGTGAGTGAAATAATCTAGTCACAAAAAGACGAATTCCATATGGTTCCACTATATGAGATAACTAAAGTAGTCGAATTCATAGACTCAGAAAGCAGAATGGTGGGTGCTAGGAGAGGAAGAAGTACAGGGAGTTTAATGGGTGGAGAGTTGCGCTTTATGGAATGAAAAAATTCTAAAGATCTGTTGCAGAACAACATGAATCTACTTAACACTACTGAATTGTACACTTCAAAGTACTCTGATGCTTTACTTAATATGGTAAATTCTACATTACGTGTTTTGTTTTTAACCACATTTTTCTTAAAAAAAAAAAAAAAAAAAAAAAAAAAAAGCAAGTAAGTAGCCCAACTTGCATAAGTCTGATGGAGATGGGTTAGTGTGGAGGAGAACAAGTATAATGATCTCCCACCGTGAGATATTATGCATACTGAAGAAGGAGTAGTTTTTGGGTGGGGAGGAGTTTGGTTTTTTCTCACTGAAAGTAGACTACATAGCTTGCTATGAATAACACAGACAAATCCTTAGACGTTTTTGGAGAGAAAAAAAAAGCTGATTTCATCTATCAAACTGGATCTTTTAGCATGTCCTAATGGATTATGGACAAAGTGAATGTCCCTACATGATCTTGCTGTGCCCTAACCAGGGATGAGTCTCAGATGACTCACCCTTGCAAAGTCTATTTGCTTCTGGAAACATAGATATCCTAATAGACTTGACAGTCCATCCACTCTGGAATGGCTACCCTTCATCCCATGATTACTTTTAAAGTGAGAGATGATCTGTTTTGTCCAACAGTAGTAAACCTTATTTTTATTTCCATATCTTCATTTTACTAGTACAGGATAACAATAGTAATCTCAACTTGTCTTTTAATCATTTATTCAAAGGTCAAATTTATCATACAAAGAATGGCAGACTAATTGCCATGATAATGTTGTAACAGTGAGCACCTACTGCAAATTGTGCACTGGACTGGGCAACTGGCCCACTTGATGGTCTATTCTAAACTGTACTTTAAATAGATATTGTTCTTAATTTAGAATGTAAACCCAAGAAATTAACTTACTTGCCCAAGGTCCACACAGCTAGCCCGGGAGTGCTAGGATTCAAATAGGACTGTCATAAACCTAAGCCTGCACTCATTCTAATGTATTCTATCCACTCTAGACACAGAGTTACAAGTACTGTCTAATCAAATCATTTTATTTCAAATGAAAAGAGAAAATATTCTTTTTTCCTCTAGTTTACTTATTTAATAAAGAGTAGTTGGTTCAAAGCAATATTCTCTGCTTTTCCTATTCATTCCTTCTCTTAATATGAGGACAGAAAAATACTGGTACCTAATCAGAAAATTTATTTTTAGACATACTAAGAAATTAGTACAGATACTTTCTATGATAATGTGTTCCATTCATGTTGACCACTATTCTTTTCATAGACAAAATCTAACAGTCTCCATTGCCTAGTCCATTTAACTTAATGAACTGGTGAGCACTGGAATTCGGGATCTTAAGACTAGCACTAAATTTTTTAATAGAGAAGAAAAAATTATTTACTTAAAAATGCATATATTTTCATCTCACATTTCTCATAGCAGAAAATATAACATGTATATGAATTTTTTTATAATACCTAACAAGAGGAAATGCTTATTTCTTTCTAAAATGTTCAGGCTACTCACTAAAATTGGTATTTAAAAAAACATTCGATATTTGTTAATACTGAAAAATGTTCACAGTTGTTACCACTTCTTAAGAATGAGGGAGACCTGACTTCCTGTTTTTCTCTTGTTAATCTGTGTCGTGTTAGAAAGAGGGAACAGGCAGGGGCTCCAGGAAGGTGTGGTGACTCTGAATTCGGTTTAGAAGCTGCTGTGCCACGGGTTTGAATTCTGTTTCCCAATGGAGTTTGTGATAGTTTTTTAGGTCTTGGTCAAAACTGCCATCCAGTGCTAGTTCTTCATCTGTATCAGAAAAATGAGAATTAAAGCAATTATTTGAAAATGTAATCCTCTTGAAAAGAGTTGAATTTTTGATGATATGAATTAAACTCATCTTGGGTCACCGTTAATAACATGACACTAGATAAGATTTTTTGTTTGTATTTTTTTTCAATTTTTTTTAGTTATACTTGGGCACAATATACCTTTATTTTATTTGTTTATTTTTATGTGGTGCTGAAGGTTGAATCCAGTGCCTTGCACATGCTAGGCGAGCACTCTACCACTGAGCCACAACCCCAGCCCTTTTTGTCTCTTTTTTAAGACAGGGTCTTGTTCTGTTTCCCAAGCTGGTATGACACTCCTGGGCTCAAGTGCTCTCCCATCTTAGCCTGTAGAGCAGCTAGAACCACAGGTGTGTACCACTGCACTCAGTGGAAAAGGCTTTTTTTTAAATGGGAAAAGTTCTTTACTCTCCTTTGTTCTTTACAAATATTTAAAAACAAGTATATTTTAGTCTTTTAATTTAAATGGGCAACAATTTTCTAAAAAAAAAAATAGATTAAACTGAGCTCTTTTCTCAACTACTCTTAGTTTTTTTATACATAAATTTACATCCAAAAGTCAGATCACAATTTATCAGAATAAACAAAGTAAGATTTCTTCCTTACATGCACATTAGAAAGTTAATTATTTCAATAATTGATAGATATAAAATGAGTTAGGAAATGTTAGGAAAGTAGGCCAGTTGAAATTGACTCTTTAAATTTTTATGAAGGGCCGTGGAGCACACCCATAATCAAAATGACTCAGGAGGCTGATGCAGGAGGATCACAAGTTCAACAAGGCCAGCCTTGGCAACTTAGCAAGACTCTGTCTCAAAAATTAAAAAAAAAAAAAAAAAAGGATTGGGGTATATATACTCAGTAGTAAAAGTGCCCCGGGGTTCAGTTGCTGGTATAAAATAATAAAAACAACAACAACTTTCCTGAAGGGCTTGAAATGGAAGTCAGTAATAGAGCATTTGCCTAGTATATGTGAGACCCCAGGTCACAGCAAAAATAAACTTTACGGAAAATTAGAACTTTGCTGACTTCAAAGCAGCTGGGATATATTTCTTTGAAAAAACAATCTATCCTCACACTCCCCAATAACTGAAAACTGGGGTACTTTAAGAAAGAGTATCATAGTCCCAAACAAAACCATGGATAATGTGGAAAACCACTAGTAAAAATAAAATGCAAAATTACAACTTTATTCTTAATGCAAAGGCACCCTGAATTCGGTGAACACCATAAGTATATCCAACCCAAAGAGGAAAGTGAATGATCATTCAAGATTCTATGCTGGCTTGCCAGTCAGAAAATGGGCAGACTTCTTAAACAGCAACCACAAAGTTCCAAAAGGACCATAAATGTTGCTACTTGCACAGTTTGCAAACATTTTTTTTCCCGTAGGGCCAATTAAAACTGTATTTAAAAAATCCTTCATTACTATTTACATCAGATTTTCTACACTGGATATTTGTGTACGCTCAATGTGTACTTTGACACTAAGGGCATTATTGCCACCACCCAGCATAAGATAAGAGACTGCAGAATCCCAGGATGTACCTTCCCCTCCTCCCCCGCTACCAAGTGGACAGCTATGCAGCTCTGAGATAAGCTCCGGGCAGGCATAAACACTTCAGCAAGGCACTCCATGGAGACCCTGTAAGCAAACCTGACTCTCCCCACCCATGAGATAACTAGGGCCTTGATGGGAAGAAAAAACAGTGATGTCTTCAAAGCCCTTCCTGTTCTGCTCTTTCCCAGTGAGAAGAGCCTGCTAGATGCAACGTGACTTTGGGTATCTAGATCAGCTTCTGTGCATTCTTTTCTAGATTTTCTGAGCAATAAATATTTGTTAAGAAAATAATACTCTTGTTTTGTGCCCTTCTTTCCCAAGCTGCTTAGGGGTGAGCACTGTGGCCCAAGAATATGGTAGTCCCTTCCTCTGCCCAAGGCTTTGCTTGGATTTGATAGTTTTGGTGAAATCTGTTAGTTTTTGGATTGTTGTTGTTTGTTTCATTTTTTATTTGTTTGTTTTACAGTGCTAGGGATGAACCCAGGGGTTCTCTACCACTGAGTGACACCCCTCAGCCCTTTTTATTCCTTAATTTAAGACAGGCTTTCACTAAATTGCCCAGGCTGGAATCCTTCTGTCTTCGATTCCTGAAGCTGGATCACAGGGGTGTGTGTGTGTGTGTGTGTGTGTGTGTGTGTGTGTGTATCTAGCAGTTTCTTTTCTTTCTTTCTTTTTTTTAAAATTTTTTTAGCTGTTGATGGACTTTTAATTAATTTATTTATATGCTGTGCTGAGAATCGAACACAGTGCTTCACACGTGCTAGGCAAGCGCTCTACCACTGAACCACAACCCAACCCCCTTTTTTTCCTTTTAATCTAATGTTAAGACCGTTACTTTCCTTGAGGTCCAGCCTATACAGAAATCAGTTACTCCATACTCAGATCATCTTTATTACAATTTGGGTTAGACAAGATAATACATTTAGCCAATAGCTACAAGTAAGAGAAACACAGCCTGAAGTTTCAAATACTAGCAAATATATAAAAAAGTATCATATTATCCTGGGTATTAAAATTTTGAACTTGTACTATAAAGAGCAGCAAAGTGATGATTAAAATGTAGATCTATGATTTTCAAACCTACTGTGATTCACAGTTAAGAAATAACATTTTACATCATGACTATATATATACATTTGGACATTCACATATAAATAAACAAATGATAAGACTACTTACCCTTACTACATAGAATATGTTCTAATATTTTCTTTCTTTGCTACTTCATTGTTTAGGTTGGTTACAACCAACTAAGTTAATTTCATAACTCACAATGTGAAGAAGCACTGATTCAGATAGACAATCATTCTTAAGTTTTCTTTGTGTACTGCACATTTCAAAATATTAAAATTTGGGAAAAGGTATTAGAAAGTATCAAAAGACTCAAAGAAGCTAGGCTCAGTGGTGCACATATGTAATCCCAGCAACTTGGGAAGCTGAGGCAAGAGGATTGCAAGTTCGAGGCCAGCAACTTAGTGAGACCCTAAACAACTTAGGGAGAGCCTGTCTCAAAAAAAAAAAAAATCTTTTTTAATTGAAAAGAGCTGGGGATGTAGTTCAGTGATAAAGCACCCCTGGATTCAATCCCCAGTACTCAAAACAATAAAGCTGCTAGTAATCATTATAACACAAGTATCATTACAGTTCAAATGTCCTACAGCATAAATGAAATTCCCCTACTCCTCGTCTGCTTTTTAGCACAGCTAGTTGTTTGCGGGATCTGTCACTGCCCTGCTCAATCTCTCTTAAGGCACAGTCCTCACCGTTCTAGAAGCACCTACTGGATCTTTGGCATAGGCCCAGCAATATGATCCTCCAATTGGAAGGCTGGGTCCCATTCCACGATTGTCACAAAACCTGAGTGCCAGGTTCCATGCACCTTATAAGGGAGCACACAATGACCCAGTGTTCTGTACATTTGCAACAATAAACCCATCTCCACCTGCCAACTTCCTGAGGAGTTTGTTATGTTCTAGAGAGCCAGGGCCCATCATTGAGAAGGCCCAGATAAACACACCAACAATGAGTTTAGAAGAAGTGACTGTGGTTTACCAGGAATTTTTAGATGATATATTTTTAAGCTTCTTTTCAGAACTGCTATCAACATTTCAACCGCTGTGGAAGACTATTACTCTTTTTCCTAGTCCCACAGCAAGAAAGTTAGGTAACTTTGATGACTGTGTCAGTTGCCTGGCCATTCTTTTCAAAAACAGCACTTTTACCTCAACATGGCTTTTGTGATTTAACAGTTCATCCTGTTTTCAAAATAGCTTTTTTTTTTTTTAAATATTTGGTTTTTAGTTGTAGGTGGACACGATAACCTTTATTTTATGTGGTGCTGAGGATTAAACCCAGTGCTTCAGGCGTGCTAGGCAAGTGCTCTACACTGAGTCACAAACCCAGCCCCAAAATAGCCTGTTTTTGAAGCTATCTTTGCAAAAGAATTGAATTCAAGTATGCTCTCACCCCATCACATTTCACTTGCTGATGCCCAACTAGCCAGACACAGCCATGACCCTGTCAGAAGTAATGGCTTACAAAAAAAAAAAAAAAAAGCCAAGAAGCGGCATAGACTACATAGCCCCCAGGGCTCAGGCTTCATAATTCATAAGAAGAGCTCTTGGTCACCCTGAGAACTGTCATGCTTTGTCCGGTGACTTGGCTCCCTGATCAAACTGTGTTTATTTTTGTTATCCATGCGCAGTCTCCTTCCATGGGATGGGGTGGAGTCGGAGTGTACTATATAATAGGACGGCAGAAAAACACAGGCTACATGTTTAATGTCTCAGGAAAAGTCCTAGCTTCACTCCAGTATAATCTTAGGTAAGTCACCTAAGCCTTCTAGACCGATTTCCCTCATCTGTCACTTAGTAAACCTCAGAAACATCTTGTGAGGACAAATGAGCATGCTTTTAAAAGTATACAGCCCTCTGAGTGCTGGGGGCATAGCCCAGAGGTGGAGCTCTTGCCTAGTGTGCACAAGGTCCTGGGTTCCATCCCCAGTACATCAAATAGAACCCCAACCCTTCCCACCAAACCCGAAAGCCAAGATCACTATTACAACAAAGATATACCACTACTGCTAGCCAGTCCACAAGCATGTACCAAGCACCAACTTCATAGGAGGGACTATCCTTTCCCAAAGTGGTTCAGTTGGAATGAGGAAATAAACACAAAAAACGAGAATACAGGAGAAACACAGGGCTCATTAACTGCTCTGAAAGGAGTGCAGATTCCCATGGGGAGACTATGGCCCTGGGCCTCATAAGCTATTAGGGCCTGCAAGGGCAGCAGCGTCTGCACAGCCATGCAGGGTATAAGGCATGCACAAAGGCCAGAGGCTGGAGAAACGAGTTCAAGCCCAATGTGGCCGCAAGGCAAGGTTGAGAAGGGATGGGAGGCAGCAGGCCAGCTATAGGGAAGCCTCCAGGTAACTGCCTCCTCCGGAGAAGCTGGCCACAGCCACGCCCTCTTCTGATGGGTCTTCATGCCCTGTGGTCTCATCCTCTGCTTTTCATAGCTGATCACCCAGACTGAAGTAACAAAGGAAGTCACAATAGCCTGTCACAGAGGCAGCAGCCTTTACACCACAGGAGAATGACTCACTGAGCCAGTCACATCTCCTGGAGTGGGAGACAGAAAAGCGTGCAAACCACAGGGGAGACACGGGAGATGCATACAAGTACGGCCTGGGGGGAAGCCTGAGGTGCGAGCCTTGACCAAGCAGGAGTCTGGAGGGATCGAGAGGCAGGGAAGCCAGCCTTTTCCATTACGGCAGGGAGAGAGCAGAGCTGGATCTCTAGAAAGGGGGCACTGCCACTGCAGGGCCTCTGGGGACTATGGCTCCTGAGAGCTTCTCCTGGAGGCTTAGGCAGTATTTATTTCCTGCTTCCTTCTCCCTGTGCATCCTTTCCTTAACCGCCTCACTAACCTGGCTGCATATCAGACTCACCTGTGGAATTTTATTTTATTTTATTTTTGTACTGGGGATTGAACCTAGGGGCAATGAACCACTGAGACACGGCCCCAGTCCTTTTTATTTATTTTTATTTTGAGACAGGGTCTTACTGAATTGTTTGGGGCCTAGCTAAATTGCTGAGGCTGGCTTCCAACTTGTGATCCTTGCTTCAGCCTCCCGAGTGCCTGGGATTACCGGGGAGCACCACCACATTGGCTCACCTGTGGAACTTTATAAACCACAGATTCTCAGCCTCCCACCAGAGTTCCTGAAGCAGAATTGCCATGGATGGGCCCAGCAGGTGTTTTCTTTAACTCCACGGCTGATTTCAATATTCTGTCCTTATTGAGAACTGAATTAAGGCAACCTGAGCATGCACTTCTACTTCCTGCACCCTGAGAGTTTAACATTCACAAAGCAGACTGTGAATCTCAATAATTTAAAATCTTATATTTGTCTTATTCAGTATTATAAAAACATGCAAAATTTTATTTACCTGGAAAAACAAACTTCACAACAGCCTAGCAAAACTGTTTATTTGAACAACACCTGGGTCTTGGTTCCTGTTCAGTAATATATCGTCACAACACTTAGCATTTATAAAGCACTTTAGCCATCTTTTGAAGACTTGCTAGGTGTCAGACATGGTATTAGGCTCTTGGTACACATCTGCTCATTTACGACCCTAACGACCCTCCATGGGTCACCCCCATGTTAGTGGTGATAAAATATAAATTCAGAAAGGCAAAACCAAGGTTTAAAAATTTGTGAGGACAAGGACCTAAACTCAGAACTGTTTGACTACAGGCCTTCACTGTACTCCCAGGATACTTGTTTGAGTCTCACAACTAACTCCCTGGGGCAGGCAGGTATTATCATCTCCCCCATTTTAGGGATATAAAGACAGGCCAGGGGAGGGGAGGTCCTCTTGTCCAGTCATCCCAAAACCAGACAGGAAGATTTGAACCCGCTGCTCTGACTCACACAGCACCTTTCCACACAGCCTCGAAGATCCAACACAGAGGCTGGGCAAGGATGGGCATGGTTCCTGCAGGTGGGGAAAAGGATCACTGGAAACACTCAACTCTTTTACTGACCCAAATCATTGTTTCCAGATCAAACCCAAGTTGAAAAAAAAAAATTATCCTAAAAATAAAAAAGGTTTAAATGTAAGAAATGAACCTCTTTGATTTGAGAAATTTCAGTATCTACCTTTCATGGCCCTGGACCCCACTGTACCCCAAAATAGTTTCACAGACCCTTCTCCACGTGACATTTTTAGCATAGTTTCTAATTAAAATGTATAGATTCATTTAAAAGCATGACAATTCAGAGTAGCTTTTTAATCATATTTTCTCAATTACAACATTATTTGCATACTTTTAAACAACAGATACATTAGGCTGAGATCATAAATATATATAATATATATTTGGGGAGAAGGATGCTGGGGAATGGACCCCAGAAGTGCTTTACCATTGAGCCACATCCCTAGCCCTTTTTATTTTTTGAGATAGGGCCTCACTATGTTGCTGAGGCTGGCCTTGAACTTTCAATCCTCCTGCCTCGAAAGCTGCTGGGATAATAGGCATGCACCACCATGTCCGGATTATGCTGAGATCTAATACTTATGCAGCCTGTAGAAAAAAAAATTTTTTAAGTCCATAGAATAAATCATGACAGGATCCAAGGAGTTAAAATCCTTCTGTAACACTTGTAAATCTTTAACATTCTCCGGTTGTTTATAGAAAAACAGCCACCCAAATGCAGACCAATCTTTGCCTGTACAGGTCACAGAAAACATTTTTCTTATCTCACGTTGATAAAACTCACATACTCACTTACTTAAAAATGATGACAACAGGACTAGGAGTGTGTTGATGTCTTCATCTCCAAAGCATGCTGAAGCCTTTGTGATATTCTCACTGAAGTTCCATAAAGTTTTACAAACCAAGCAGGCCAGCTGCCAATCAGTAGGACCAAAATCTCTTAAACAATCTACCAACCTGAATTAATGAAAAGTCAAATTGAGAAGTTAATAAGTCAGAAGTTATTACATATTTAAGTAGCCACAAAGTAACAATATCCTCTTTTTTTTTTTTCCTTTTTTAGCAGGGGTGATGGAATCCAGGGCCTCACACATGCTAGGAAAAAACTGAGCTACATCCCCCGTGCTTTTTATTTTTAATTTTGACACAGGGTCTCACCAAATTGCCTAGGCTAACCTTGAATTTGAAACCCTCATGCCTCAACTCCCCAGGGTACTGGGATTACAGGTGTGCACCACTGTGTCTGATGATAACCTACTTTGGAATGATTTCAAGTGTCCAGTGGAACCAAAATCCTCTCGTTAGCTCCAGCCTGGGGCTTCCAAATGTGAAATACCTTTGCCCCAAATGAATGACAGGAGGTAACTACTCCTCTAGGAAAACTATGTCTTCAGAATCTGAGTCAGGATTCCATGCCTTGAAACTTACTTTTTAATGCCGCCTCCCTCTTTGAGGATGACCCGCTTGTCTTTATCCACAGTGAGATTGAGGAGAACACCACAGGCAGAAAAACAAATGTCCTGATGCTTAGCGTCCAGCAGCGCAATCATGAATTTATGTACTGGGAAGGCAGAGAACAAACGCAGATGGGAGAGAGCTCAGGAGTCCCAGCTGTATCTTGTTTTAGCACAGCACAGGGGCGGGCATGGAGCACAGTGGGATGGCTTAAGAAACCAGAATCCCTGTGAGTGGGCTTATGGGCTTAACCCATTCTTCCTGTTAGTCTTTTTTTCTTCTTTTTTTTAATGATGCTGGGGATCAAAGTCAGGCCTTGTGCATGCATGCTGGGCAAGTGCCCTACCACTGTGCCAAATCCCCTCATTCTTCCTGAGTCTGTATTCATCTTCCAGCCGTGGGTTCCCCAACACTCACCACCCAAGCCTGCTCCCCAGCTTCCCTGGACCCAAACCACTAGAACTGACCCAGGTAGCAGCTCCCTGTCCCAGTTGTGATAGGTTCCCTTCTGGTGAAAAAGAGGGAGCCTGTGACATTATTTCTACTTTGGGTTATTCTGAAGATACTTTTTTTTTTTTTTGATACCGGGGATTGAACCCAGGGGCGCTTATGTACTAAGCCACATCCCCAGCCCTTTTTGTATTTTATTTAGAGACAGGGTCTCTCTGAGCTGCTTAAGGCCTCCATAAGTTGCTGAGGCTGGCTTTGAACTCACAATCTTCCTGCCTTAGCCTCCCGAGCCACTGGGATTACAGGCATGCGCCCAGCCTGAGGAGACTTTTGAACCTCCAGGAGCAATTCTTTAAATAAAGAGTCAGTTTCTGACCAGAAGTTCCCTGATGCGTCCCCAGGGCCAAGTATAAGATGCTTCAACTACTGGAAACCCACCTATGACAAGGCAGGGCTTTCACTGTAGGGACATCTTAGAGCAGGACAGGCTCTGGCCCCGGTGGATTTGTGTTCCCGTCTTCCTAGGAAATGAAACTGGGAACTGCTTGTCCTGCGTTCTGGTCCCCTGTGGGGACTAGCAAAGATTTCAGGGGGAGTGGATACGTGGTGTGCTCCACCTGCTCCTACTTTACAGTACACCTGTGAGGTTCTGCTTTGTTCTGGCCTCAGCCCTACTGACTGGGTGGGGCAATGAGCTTGTCAAAGGCTACATCACATACACAAGGGTCCCAAAGAACGCACCAAAATGTTAGCAGTTATCTGTGGGGCAGTAACATATGGCAATGGATGACAGTTTGAGGCGGCTGCTGATGATGCTTTTTATAAAATTTGCATTATCTAAATTTTCTATCATGAATATGGATAATTAGATTTTTTAAATTATTCTTGCATGGAGTATGTGAGATATACAAAGAGGGTGGTTAGTATAAACACTTGGGTACATGCCACCCACCTAGTTTAAGAAATAGAACATTACATTCGAAACATGTTGTACACCATAAATATATACAACTCTTATTTGTCAACTAAAATAAATAAATAAAACATTACAGATACAGCTTTATGTCTTTGGACATCTCATCCCCTCTCCAAAGGTCTTAAATATGGAGTTTGTCATTTCCAAACACCATTTATGCTTTATGCCATTACTACATGAATACATATACATAAGCAATACCCAAGAGAGTTTTGCATGTTTTAAAACTTATATTGGTGGCATTATTCTCTGTATATCCTATTATCACTAGCTTTTTGCTCCTGTTTAAGTGTTTAAGTGATCTATATTGTATTTATCCTCTTGGCTGCTGGTGGACATTTGGGTTGTTTCCATTTTTTTTTTCGATTATAAGCAAAATGTAATAGACATTCTAGTGCATTAAGGAAAATGTTTCTTGAACCTGTCCCTATGGGAAGAAATGGTGAGTGTAGATGACTTATTTCCATTAAACACACTGCCCTTCCCATGCCGGCACTTGAAGACCACTCACGAGGGAGAGGGGAACACTGCCTAGGTCCATCCCAGCTTCCTGAGCTGAGCACCTCACATGCCGGACAGAATGTAGAGCTTTACATGTCTCAAAGCAGAAACATGTATCCCATTGAAACCATTTAGTTGCTAATTGGCAGAAGTGTGTGCTTATGAATTGACGTGTCATTAACTTACCATTGTTCTGCACAATGAAATCACAGATGTCATGGTCTTGGGAGAGATTTCCAAAAACACGCACAGCTTCCAGGATTCCATCCATGTTGTTACTCACAAGAAGCTTTAAGAGCACTGGATTTGGTGACCAGAAAAATAAAATCAATTCATTTAAGTTTTAATGTAAAGGCTAATGGAGATCAATCTCATACTAAATACTGAGAACTTAAAAATAATAATAAAAGGGGCTGGGGATGTGGCTCAAGTGGTAACGCGCTCGCCTGGCATGCGCAGGGCACTGGGTTTGATCCTCAGCACCACATAAAATAAAAATAAAGATATTGTGTCCACCGAAAACTGAAAAATAAATATTAAAAAAATTCTCTCTCTCTCTTTAGAAAAAAAAGATAATAAAATACAAACTTTAAGGGACTTCAGCAAGAACTAATTTCCCCCCACATTTTAATTTCTTAAGAGTCAAATCAGGCTGTAAGATATTTAGATGTCAGAAAATAGTAATGCCTCCAGTTCTGTGTTTAGTTAATAAAATCAAAACCATCCAAAAACAACTCTGAACCTTACATTGAGCAATAGATAGCTTTTTGTCTTGGATTATGGAATTCTTCACTTGGTAGAAAGACAAATTGTTGATTGTTGCTGTAGTATTGATCACCAGCTCCTCACACTCGTCAAGGGACTTGTATTCTGAAACAATGTGGGGAGAGAGGAGTCAGAGACACTGTGCTCTGTGCGCTGTGTGTGGGTAGAGGCAATGCCACAGAACTGCAGCAGCAGCAGAGCTGGGGACAGACTGCAGCCCGGGCAAGGTCTGTGCACAGGAAACACTGTTTGACACTTTATTTCCCGTGACTCTTCCTGCAGGGAAAGGCACCAAATGCAAGGGGCCACTCCTGATCGTGGCGGGCAGGGCACTCAGCTCCATCCTGCATCCAGGGTATCTGGGAGAGTCAGCCAGTCTAAACCCTGTGTCTGAAGTAAAGCACAGGAAAAGAAACCTCAGCTGAACTGTCTCTGATGCCAGCAGTGTGCCCCTGGCCTCAGGTCCCTCAGGGACTCCACCAGGGAATCTACACTATTCCCCATGCCCCCACTTCCCTACAAAATAGTCCTTAGGTCATGATCCACCCATAACCATTATGCTGTTCTAAACACACAAAATCAATCACATCCCCTCTCCACTATCACCCCAGGCCATCCATCATTCACCTCTACTAGCTTCTCTTCTTCCACTTTTGCATCTAAATCTTTTTTTTTTTTTTTTTTGGTACTACGAATTCAACCCAGAAGCTCTTGACCACTGAGCTACATACCCACCACCCACACCCCCTTTTAAATTTTGAGACAGGGTGTCACTAAGTTTCTTAGGGCCTTGCTAAGTTGCTGAAGATGGCTTATGAACTTGCAATGCTCCTGCCTCAGATTCCCAAGCTGCTGAGATTATAGGCATGTGCCACTGCGCCTGGCTCGGAACCTATTCTTCACTCAGTGATCCTTTAAAAGTAAGTTAGGGGCTGGGTGCAGCCAAACCCTGCTGGGTGCAATGATCCTTTTAAAATAACTCAGTGATACCCTGTCTCTAAATAAAATACAAAAAAAGTCTGGGAATGTGGCTCAGTGGTTGAGTGCCCCTGAGTTCAATCCCCTAGTACTAAACCAAAAAAATAAAGAAAGTCAGCCAGGGACTGGAGATGTAGCTGAGTGGTAGAGCACTTGTCTGGCATAAGCAGGGACCTGGGTTCAATCCCCAGAACCACAAAAACAAATGAATAAATAAATTATCTGATGTTACCCATCTCACAACCCACTAATGATGTCATTTCACTTGGCCAGGCCCCCCTGGGCTGCCCTTTCCTCACCTCCCAGGGCTCTTACCCAGTGTGGTCAGCAGCAGGCCCACGACTTGTGGATTGGTGGCCAGAGCGGGGCCAATGCATGGGTGAATGGCTATGTTGGCCAGCACCCGGGTCAGCTTGATGAGTACGTCCTCCACCTCTGATGGTGGCCTCTGAGCGACAGGCCTATTGGCTCCTGGAGGTGCCTGCCTCTGCGAATGCAGATCGAGTTGGTAGAAGGTCTGGAATAATGAGAGCAGTGTCTCCATGCTCCCTTTCTCTTTGTAAAAGTGTTCCCGAGCCTGGTTATTCTTTGCTGTCAGGTTGCCAAGAATAAAAACAATACGAATAACTAGATCCTGAAATAGATGAAGGACAAAGAGTTATAAGAACAAAGTGATTAGAAAGAAAAGTCATATTTAATTTACTCTTAATTTAGTTAATAGTAAAATGTAACATGTCTGGCTGTTACTAACTCATGCGGTATTTGATTCCCAAAATGAGTGCAAATTGACAGGAGAGTAAAAGGATTTGGTGGCAACAAAAGAATACAAACTGATTGATGTGATCAGTGAGGCCTATTAATTTCACATCCTTCATCCTTCAGAATTTCAATTCTGGGTGGCCTTTTTCTCCCTAGAGAATAATTGGTTGAGTGGGACAATGTGTCATGTAATTCTAAGTTTTGACACTAACAGACTTCTTGAGCATCCAAATCTTTTTCTAAGAATTAACCTCCTGCTGAAGCACTCCACTTCCAAAAGTCAGGCATTTCCCAAAAGTGGATTGTGTCAAAACAGGATTCTTAATTTAGGCATTATTGATATTTGGAACTGGGTAATTACTTGTTATTGGGGTCAGGGGGTCCTGTGCATTGTAGGGTGTTTAAAAGCATCTATCTTCTTGCTAGATGCCAGTAGCACCTCTCCAGAAGTGACCACCAAAATGTCTAATTGTCTCCCAGAGCAACATCATCCCCAGTTGAGAGCCATTGTGTTACACAGGAATGCCACTGAAACAGTACTAAAACAGACCGAAATGAAGGGCCCCTCAGACACTGAGCACTTTTTTATGCTCAGAGTAAAAGTCTTACCCACCAGTAGATCATCTGGGAGGATGAGACTCTTATTTCATTTTTTGTGGTGCTGGGGCTCAAACCCAGGACCTCCCACAGGCTAGGCAAGTTCTCCACACTAAAGTAATGCTTACTGAGGGCTACCACTGGCCTGGGTGACAACTTTTCTTATTATGCCCTGCATCGTGCCCTTGTATAGGCAAGAAACTGGGTCCTGAAGAAACTGCAGGTCACATGACCCGTGAGGGGTGGAGAAGGATTTGAACCCAGGATTACCCAGACTTGGAGTCCTTTCTCTATCTGCACCCTGCCTCCCAGTTAGGGAGTCATTTAGTTATCTCTTCTTTGGCCTTGCCAGCCTGCTGACAGTTATGGGATTATCTCTTTTTAAAATGCAAATATGTGGCCAGAAGGGATTACCATAAACCTGACTTTGTGGATCAGACTGGTACTTATCAGCTGATTGAAGCAGACAAATATGACCGGGCCGGGTACATTTTCATCAAGGCTCACAGAACCATGTGGGACTCCAGGGGCCCAGCGCAGGGTATTGGGTGGGGCAAAGAGACTGGGAGGACTAAGGGCAGAGGACAACTTTTAGATTTGCCTACGACTACTATGCCAATACTAACTTGTTCCTTCTTGTTCTTGAGAGACAAACAAAAAAAAGTTTCCCCTGACACTCACTGGCAGAGAATCAGCAAGGCTCTGCTGTGCAGCTGGGAGCCATTTGCCAACATTAAGACAGGACAGAGCCTAACACTATGGCAAGAACTGGAGCTGATCCAGGACAGCATTCAGTTTTGGAAAGGGTTCAACTCACAGCATTCAACCAATCACAGCCACCATCCAATTAGGAGGATCTGCTGTTTGCTCCACCCTGGGAAAGAGAGTGTCAGTTCTTAGATAATGTCGCTATGGGGCGGGGCCTAGAGGAACACACAACATCGTAAACAAGGATGACATACAGTGCTCTGAAGAATTTATAATCTATTTGAGAAGGTAAGGCTAACCTGTGTGGGGAAACAGCTAAGACCAAAATGGCCAAGCAAGGAGCCGGACAGCGAAGGGGATTATGAATTCCAGCCCTACAGCCAGGGGGTCTAGGTTCACACAGGAACTTGACTCAACCTCAGAGTCCCTGGGAACTCATTTGCAAAATGGGGAAAATATTGCATTGTAATAGTAAACAAGATAAAACAGGCAAAGCACAAGTTAAATTCAGTAACAATTCAGGTATTACATGGAAACCTTCTCACTGTCTTATCAGTAAAATGTTAGTTAATGGCTATAAACTGTGGGACAGACCCAACATTCTTAGAAGAGTTTACAAAAGAGGACATTATGGAGGGATCAGCAGAGTTATCAAGAAAGAACTTGAGCTCAACCTTGAAAAGGCAAAAGAGTGTGATAGTATGCGTAGGAGGGGCAGGGTGGGCAAAAGGAGTCTTAAGAAGGTATAGATGGGGGCCGGGCACTATGTGCACACCTGTAATCCACCAGCTCTGGAGGCTGGAGCAGGAGGATCACAAAGCCAGCCTCAGCAATTTAGCAAAGCCCAGCCTCTAAACACAATACAAAAAAAGAGCTGGGGTCATGGCTCAGGGGTTAAGTGACCCTGAGTTCAATCCACTGTAACAAAAATAAATAAATAAATACATAGGTCCCACCACAGTATTGGGGATTGAACTCAGGGGAGATCTACTTCAGAGGTAGTAGTAGATCCTCAGCCCTTTTTATTTTTTTGAGACAGCTTCTTGCTAAGTTGTTCAGGCTGGCCTTGAACTTGTGATCCTCTTGTCTTGGCCTCCCCAGTTACTGAAATTATAGGCCTGCATCCCCATGTCGTTCTTTGATCACCTAGCCATTCCCCAAAGAAGCTGGAGCCTGTAGGACTTGAACCTAGAACAAGCACACACAATCTGATTGTTATCCTGGAATCCCACTTCCCATAAATCCAACGACCCTTTCAAGTAATTCCTGAATGCCTCCTGGGCTCTGGAAGGAGAGTACCAAGGTAGGACCAGACCCAACAGAAAAAGCAGCTTTCCCACAAGAAATAGAGAGCATTCTCAAGAATTAAGCTCTTTGGTGGAAAATTTCTGTTTTATATTTTCTAAGCTGAGCACCATGAGCAAAATTTTTGTGAATGCTTCACTGTTTTCTGATGAGACACTCTATAGTTCTACTTCCAAAAAATCATCATAATTAATAATAATAATAATAGCAATAATAACAGCAACTAACACAGAATTTATGATGTGACAGGCCCTGATGTGAGGCTTTACATACACAAATTAACTAATCCACTAAAAGTGATGACCCACTTCTGTCATCTGAACAAAGCTATTCAGAGACTCACAGCAGGACAGCAATCTCCCTCACACATTTGATGGCAGTGACAGTGACGTTAACCATTTGGACTTAACCATGTTCCCTGGATTGTGCTCTTCTCTCATTTCCACGAATGTATATTAAATAAAACCGGGAGGACATGATGAGTGATAATAAATGCTTTTTAAGGAATTAATAGCCAGTTCATTCTGACTGCTATAAATCATTACTAGAACTAATCAGTTTACCCCCAAAATGTCACCGCCATATTCTGAAGGAAGCTCAGCTGTACCCCCCCCCCCCCGCCCCTTTTCCCTCTTAGAACTTGCTGCTTCACCTCCATGTAGTGGGCTTGTTTTTCTCTTAATCTAACCCAGCAGGCTGCTCTGCCTTGAATCACCTCCACCTATCACTGCTGATCTGTGCAGAGTATTTAGAACCGATCCTGGCTGTAGATAAAGCAGGTTTTCTTAGTGACCATCGATCTTCAAAATTCAAATTACCTCTACCCACTTGACCTAATCAAGGTAAGCTAGATGCTGCTTTTCTTTTTCTGGAAATTCCCCTGGGCCCTTTCCACTTCTAAAATTCTCTGACTCTAACATCTCTGTGGGTCCTAACATGATGTGGGTTAAGCCCGATGTGGGGAAAAAGAAAGTCTAGGCTGCAGGGCAGGAAGAGTTAATACTGCCACGCTATCTCTTTCCCTGCCTCAGACGGAAGAAGGAGGGAGCGGCTCCTGGCAGCAGCCGTGCCAACTGGAGGATGGCATGCAAGATCAACAAATGGGGATGGCAGATTGTGCCGTTCACAGCACCCAACTTCCAGAAACTGCTGTGCTCGCTGCTTCTGTCCTCTTCCTCAGGGTTGGCTAAGGAATCTTTTCTTTTCACCTTTTCAAATGTTCTCCTCGAATCTAGGGAGCAGGGAATAGGCCAAAATAGACTCAGTCTCACGACAGGTTGGCAGAGCTAGTGTTCCCTTGCTCCCACACCAGGGCTTGCCTTGGCTAACCTGCAATCCTGAAGCAGCAGGCTGAGCAAGAGGGCTCTGCACAGCCTGTACCCCGCCAGGAGCACGAGTGGCCTCAGCTCCACTCCAGAAGTTTCTCCCACTGAACTGAGTCTGCCCTGAGCAGTACTATGGAGGATTATGTGTTGCTCAGCAGCCCAATCCACCTCAAATCTATAAAGTATCACTTAATTAAATAGCCTGCAAAGATTTGTAGAAATTAAACTAAGGCCCCAATCATTGATTTGTAATTCCCCTGTGTACAGTCTTCCATTCCTTTATTCTTACACAATATCTGAGAACCATCCATAAATCAACACTCCTCTTTTATTACATTTTTATTAAATTTAACACAAAGCTGCATTTTCACACCATAACTATGTGGTTTTGAAACAGCACACTGAAGATGAATCAGGAGAGAGAATGTTTTTTTTCCCTAAAGAAGGCAGTCTAGTATAACCAGTTCACATTGACTTTCTAATTTTGCTTAAAATGGAATCAGCCCAGCAACTGCTACAGCCAACCAGAGCTTCGACACATGGGTCCACCTACTGTAGGAGGCCTGGCCTCCACTGAGCATTCCAGTTATAGCCCAGGATCTTTCCCTAGTTCAGCTTATGTTGTGCCCTAATGAGCAAGCATGTTACTTGGACTAAAGGGGCCCTCTAAGCCTGTAGATAAAATTACTTTAACTGGAACAAAATAAGGAGCAGGACTGTGCTGAACAGAATGGCCTATGTCCAGTTCCAATGACAGCCCTTTGTTTTATTTCATTTTATTTTGAGGCAGGGTTTCACTAAGTTGCTGAGGCTGGCCTTGAACTTTCTATCCTCCTGCCTCAGCCTCTCAGTAGTTACAGGCATCAACCACTGTGCCTGTCCAAAACATCACTTCTTTTTTTTTTTTTTTTAATATTTATTTACTTTTTAGTTGTGGTTG